AAATTCCAAAAAATTGTAAATTTAAAATTCCCATGTTATTCTTATGGAGAATAAGTAAACTGTTGTAGTTTGCTTGTTTATAAAAATATTTTGCTCAAATTTTGAAAATGTTTTTATTTCTTACTAACTATTAACATTTTACATAAAAACACTTTTACCCTCCCTGTTGCAGCAAACCTAAGTATGTTTTAAACTGATTCTATTTAAATAGGGAATAAATGTGATATTTTTAAGGAGACATTTTAGTGTAAATCCATTCAGGGAAATGGAATTTCGCTTATTCTGCAGGTTTGCTGCGGCGGGGGTATTACTCGATCAGAAGGTTGACCTAAAGCTTCTAGTTGGCTTCCGAAACAATGGATTTAGTACCAACACAAAGCTAAAAGGTATAGATAGACGGCAGCGGGATTTGAACTTCAGACCCCAAAATAAAAAAAATACCGTTCTCTGCCACTGTTTTGCCATCAAAAACGTTCTACCTAAGACCAGATGATTCATTATGAAAATTGACTTCATAACACTCATAGTTGTAACCCAAGTTAATCCACCCAGAATTAAACCAAAAACCTCAACTCATCCATCTAGGTCTAAACACAAAATACAAAAGATGTCATACAATTTTACTTTTAGGCCTAGAGTAACAATTTCGTTTATTTTCCGGATAATCTATTTTACCAACCTGTTAGTGTTGTGAGCTGGAATTTACTGAACAAAGTACCAATAAACAACATTTTAATTAAACTCAGGTCGTAACACTATTGGAATAATGAATAATTACACTTTTTCATTAAGGTTTTTTTTATTCAACACTAAATGTTGTATGTGTTTATTTCTTACCCGTTTTAAAACATTTAATGTCAACAAGCTAAACAAATTCTTGGTTAGTTTAAGAGTGAGCTATTTAAGTCTAGCTAAGAAACATGACCATTCGCTCTTTCTAGCTTTTTATTCACGAAGGATCCCCAATTAATTAAAACACAACCAGGAAACGCTATTTCAGTACTAATCCTCAAACGTTTTAAATTACGTAATTTTTTCCTACCAAAATGTTTCAAGCATGGATTTTTCAACTTGTTAAAGAACTATTTGCCTTCTTGTGCTGTCTATGTTGTAAGGCCAACTAGAAAAAATCAACCCTTTTTCTTTTTGTCTTATATTTGTAGCACTTTTATAGGTAAAACTCTGTCTACATGGACTCATAATTGTTTTCTTAATTTAGTCCTAAAACGTGTTAGATAAAGCATTTTTACCACGGTTTTAGCTCGCAAAATGATATAAAATAAACCGGAAAATCCTCTCTACGAAGGGTCATTTTATGTGGCCTTGGGGACCAATATTAGGCAACATCGCGTCGTGTCATATTATCGGGGTTACAGATTTACAGCGAATACTCCTTTACAGGATTTTTTGAAATATGTTAACGTTAAATGGATTTCAGTATTTGATGTAGAATTCCTTTTGTTGGCTCTAACACTACTTGTATATATATTGGACAAGTAGACGAATTAATTAATTTAAAAATAAATACGTAGAAATATCGCGAGTTAAAGTTTCCCACTCATGAGCCTGATGCTTGTATGATACAAAGTTGAAAATGTATCGTCGTAACTTTTGAACGTAGTATGTGACGTTTTTAGAAATTCTATTAAGTAATCCACAGACTTTTGTGATGTAGATGATAAGAAACATTTTTAACTTTAAACTGATTTTCTGACAGTAAAGATAAATTGATAAACAATTAAAAGTGTTTGCTAATTAGAAAATAAACCTTATACTACGAATAGCGTTATAAAACGTTAATATTTTTTTTCATCGGAAACGCTATTAAAAATTCGTGTTTGAACCGTTTTGACAGAAAAAATGTAAAAGATTTTTGAATATTACTATTGAAATTATGACACACATTATTTTTACTAAATCATAAATAACCATGGTAAACCTTTCTTACGATGAACTTTTCTCACCCAAACTGAGACCAATGCTGCTGACTAGAGACGCCTTAAACGAAAGCGGAACAAACAGATTTGAAACAACAGATTGAGCTGTTCACCTGTTTATTACGCTGAGTAATGCTTTTGTAGTGAGAAGCTAGTTTACACACATATGTTCATTACTCAAGGGAACCTATTATTAACATTGCATCTGTTTACCACAGGTAGTGGTTAAACCACTGCTTAAATATTTCAGTTGTCCCACAAGTCAGCTTTACTTGTTTTGTGAAAACTTTAAAGATTTACACATAAATGCGATTGATAGGTGTTAAACAATTTGTGTTACCTACGACAGAATTTGTTTAAGCAAGCCGTTTCATTTTAGTTCTTAAAATTGAAAAGATTCACTTAATAGCATTGTTTTACTTAACAACACGATTAACAGACCAATGAGATTCAAGTATTGAGAGAAACGAAGTAATATTACAATGCACGGAACTTCAACTAATCACCTAAGACCAATTTAATTGTTAATGAGTGGTGAAATTAGTAGTAAGTACAATGAGTCGTTGCATCACTGTCAGTGGCAGTGAGAGGCACGAAAACATAACCTCTCTTAGTTATGAGTAGTGATTGTTAGTAATTAAAAAACGGCAAGTGTACGCAGCTCGCGTAAAAAAGGCAAGCGCCATTAAAACGTCTACGGGTGTCGTCAAGACTTTCTTTACGCGATCGTTGCTGAAAATAATATAAATTAACTAAATATTATGTACAGCTTTTCCCAGTAAGTGTGTAGTAAATCGTATGAACATTGTCATATTGGTAGTTATATTGATTTCCCTCTGTGTAAATAAAGTGCTATTGTTACTTTTGGTATGCAAACAGGTTTTTGACTATGAAACGTAATGGACATTATCAGTCAAATCTAGTAAAAAGTAGTTTTATAATAGAATCAAGTTTCTAACATTGATGTACACAGTTACGAAAAGGATTGGATAGACCTTTTGCAAGAGGCCTTTATTAATATAAATGTTATTAAAAATTATGACTATTTTAGTATAATTTGAATACAGCAAAATACAAAGTCGTATTAAATGCCCAATGTATTTAGGGCACCTTATTTTTTATATTCTAAAATATGTTAAATTAAATCTTAAAACTGGAAAGTTGATATAAACACTTAAAGACATTTGTTGTATTACTGTCGTGATACTATTTCAAAAACTACTTTATAGCATATAATAATACAATTGTACAAGTTGCAACAGTAAGTAAAAAAATCAAAATATTTAGTTTCATAAACGAGTTTTTAAGACTTTAAGTGTGAGTTAAATTTGGTTTCAAATGTTATTTGCGATGTTTCCATGGAGAGAAGTTTCAGTGATTTCTGCAAAAAACTGTCAACAACTACAGCCCAGTCAGCAACAAACTTTAAACCCTCCGAAACCATATCTTTGGCCAAATGGTTGGCCATTTAATCAAATTCATAGAATAGTTAGTCAATTCAAAATATTTTTTTTTTTCATAATACATTGAACGAATAAATGAAATACGATTTCATACACCAAAGAAACTCCTAATAGCTATAATTATCTACTGTACTACTCAAATTTCGTTTAAATGCCCCACTATCACTTAACCCCAACTAAATTCATATAAGCAACTTATACAATTTTGTTTTAGAGGTTTTCGCCAAACAGTGGTATGTTTTTACCTATTAATTGTTCAAAATAGTGTTAGTGAATATACCTAAATTTACTTTACTTATAAATTATACATAGCATTACCAATAAATGACCATAGAACTGACTTCATCGTGGTGTTTTGCCTTTGTCGTCCCCCCAATGACAAATTCAGCTCGCTTCGCCAAGACAACAACATATTTAAGCAATTAAAGCAGAATGTGAAGGACTGGTGATTGTATGATGGAATGACATGATCTTTGTAGCTTCATTACCGGCTAAGACAAGGTGTTTCCTATCCAGGATAATTTATAAAGGCCAATCGAATTTCCAAAAAGCTACTAATTTAAGTTCAAACAGGCGACCGTTAAATTATTATTGAGCGAAAACCAATCATCACCATTAAGAGTATGTTACCAAACATGCGTCTCGATTAAGATTTAAGCTAACTATTTGTTATAATAAATCATACTTAGTATGCATTTTACACAGTAACCTAATGCCAGGAAGTACAAGTCATAGACAAAACACGTAACATCTAGTATATATCGAAACATAGATTACATGCAATGAAGAAAGATACTCTTTAAAATTAAAGTAAGATTAAAAGGTATTTCTCAGGGATTATTTTGTGGCTGAAGATGGCTCGCATTTGCGATGTTGTTAAGAAAAGTCGGACGAAGCTACTCAATAATTCATCGACGATCGATGTCTTGCTATGTTACGGCCCAAGGAACACGACCTTACACTCGAGATAATGTTATATGTTTATCTGCAGTGGCTTCTTTCAACGTACAACCCTTCAAACGGACAAAACATTTGAATTGCTTGAATAAAATGTAAAATAACATTTTTTTACTGCAACAGCAGTATATGTAAGAGTAGTTATTAATATTGTGGAACTAAGGCAATAAGGTTCGTGTTATGAAAATATATACCTATTAATACCAATTTAAGAGACTTAGTAGAGTGAGCATAACGACTGGTAAGAAATTAAAAAAAAAATTAATAAATATTAATCCATTCGTACACACTTATCCACGTATTTTCCACCAAATTATTTAAAAAAGGCTAGGTTATACGTTGCATCCGTCCACAGAATGCGGTGTAAGATATGCCCTATCGATTGAGTAAAGAATACAAAACTGAGGGTTACGGTCTTTTATAGCACATAGGCCTATTAATAAATTTATTATTTTCAAACATTTATATGAAGTAACCTTTCTTTTTCGCACGTATAAACAATACAGACATTTTGTTTGAAAAATACATCGTGTCACAAAATATACACTTCACCAGTTTCAGAATTTGTAAAGCAACAAAACGTATTATAACAATAAATATTGTCATGTATTCTACAAAAATACACACACTGTAACAATATTCGTCATAGTCGACTACCCATACTATCCACACTTTCCGAATAATCAAATTTGAATTCTTTGTTATTTGATTCACTATGAAATTTCTTTGTGAGATCTTCCATGTCTTCCACAGTCATGTTATCCATGTCCAACGTGCCATCTTCGTTCATATACATTTCCTCATCAACATACCTACCTTCTTGGTAGTCCAGGCGATTGAATCGGTCCCAAATGGCTTCCATCGGTTCTTTAGTCTCTTCGGGAACATATCCTTCGTAAGGATTTTTGTACCTAATTTGTTCCATCAATGCTATCCATCTTTCACTTCCTATTTCAGGCACTGGTGTCAGCTCTTCAGGCCACACATTCCCAATTGATTGGAAATCAACTTCGTTAGACGGTTCAAACCACTCATCTTCATCTAAGATTGGCTTTTCTTTAGGCTGAAATTTCTTCCTAGTCTTTTCCTGGGGCATAGTAGAAATTTGTACTTCCTCGACAGTGTTTCTCGATGGTGTCAGTGGTTTTAAATGAAACTCTTGAAATTTATCAGAACTTTCTGCAATATCGTACCTTGAGTGCCTCTTGAATTTTTCTTTTGTTTTTAAATTATGTTCACGTTTTCTAGGAGTATATTCACCATTGTCATATTGTATGTACCTTTCCTTCTGTCTATGTGATTGGTCTAATGACTCAAAAAGTTGTTTATACCTAGTATTACTGTATTCTAATTGGTTAAGCTCATGTTTAAAGTTGTTAAAACCTTTTTCACTTTTCTTTTTGAGTTTCCTTACCTCTACCCGTTCAATATTTAAATTACCATATTTTTTCTCAATATGTTCAAGATTACCTTTCTCTTCTGCTCCATGTACATTTGAAGTATCTACATCTACTGATATTTCTAAAGTCGTATTTGACATATCCTTTTCCATATCTTCCTCTTCTTTTTCTTCTTTCCCTTCTTCCTTTCTGTCTACTTCCTTCTTGTCCAGTCTCTCTTCTTTTTCGTCCTTCTTTTCTACTTCTGGTTTTCCCTCCTCGTCCTCTTTTTTCTCATCCCCTTCATCTTCCTCTTCTTCTTCCTCTTCTTCCTCTGTGTCGTATTCATCCTCATCCCATTCTTCATAACTATCAGAATCTGCGGTTCCATCTGGTAGAGGAGGGCTCGTAAGATCCAACGAATGCTGCTTATCCGGCTCCTTTGGCACTGCCAATGGCTCAGCCATAGTTTAAATTACGTTTGTGAAGTTGTCTCTACAACTTTGCCATTTGTGGTTGGCACACTTTATCACTAAAGACTACTGTTTACATTGTGAGTGAAAAGCTATAAAGTTAACTATTCACGTTTATCATACAAACTTAGAATATTAGAGTTGAAGTTAAATATATTACTTTAAAAGTCAAATATCACTCCCGAAACTGAGAACGCCACTCCACATTATTGATATCACGGGTAAGTTGAAACTAATGTTTCTCATCTACAAAAGTACACTAGTTTTAGTTTCTAGCTGATTATTATTGTAAATAGAACAAATCGTTGTAGAGGGGGGAAATTGTGTTTTAATCTTATCCCTAACCATTATGATAAGATTAAAATGCTAGTCATGAGTTTGCTCTATTTTTTGTTAACTGTTGGCTGCATTTCAAATAAATTATCAATTACTAAAAGTTGCTTACTTAGATTACATAGAAAAATTAAAAAAGCAAGTATGTGTACTGTTCAGAAACGGTTTTAAAAGAAATTGTGCCAAAATAAATGTAATTGCTACTTTTCATTATACGGCCCTCAAACCCAAGATTTTCACATCCAGCTTAGGATATTTTTTTCATTATGTTCAAAATTGAAGATAAAATTGTAGAAAAAATGAGTTTAAACTTATCTTTTTTAATTAATGTGTATCATCGACGCTTAAAGTATGTCCACCTGCTAGTACTAAAACCCCAAATTGCACATTATATGGCATACACCCTAATTTTTTATAGTTGTTGCGTAGTTAAATTGTTCTGCATAAAAACAATGGGTTAACTAAAATACAATATTTTTACTTATCTAGTTTTATTGTAAAACATTACAAAAATATAAACATTTATTCAAGCATTTTGACTATTCAATTTATTTTAAAACAAAAGGAAAAGAGTATCCTGAAATTTAAATAATCCATGTATTCACTTAAAATATTACTTTTTGAAATATTTGAGGAAAATTTGAAGGCTTACAAAAAGTTTTTTTGAAACTAATACAAAAAACGTTTAAATCAAAATTAACATATGCTTAGTTTGACATTATACAATGTCTCCGGCAATTTTCTCTTCCATTCTTCACCGAAGGGTTGTACCACGTTGGTTGGCTGGTAGGTTGATCATCGTCGTCCCAGGAAGAATCATAGGTTGGTATGTTAGACTTTCCCATATTGTCCCAAACAGGTGGTTTGTAAGGATCGTAGACAAACCATACAGGAGGCTTCCCACGTTGCACTACGAAAGAGTCCCAGGAATAATTAATGAGATGTTGATGGTCAGAGTTATCCATAAAAAAATTTGTATGAAATCAATAATCAATTTTAACAATTTATGAATGAATAACTGTAACTGGTGGTTGAAGTGTTGAAGAGTTTGTACAAAGTAGACTGTACAGTAAAAACTTATTCAACTTATACTGGTCAATAATATAAAAAATATTTCTTTTATAGTAGATTTATGCATAATCAGTCCTAATTTTGTTGGCGATTCAAAACTAATAAGAAGTTTTTTGTGTTTGCTTTTTTATTCCGGAACAGTTTTTTATGCTGTGGAATGAAAGTATTTCAGAGGGATAAGCAGTTTAGTAGTTTCCTGAATGTAGTGTTTGTGAGTACAAATGGAAACTACGAACAGTTAATTTAATTGGTTAAAGCATTGCTGTTCTAAGTTTCACATACAAGTCGTTTTGGTAAATATTTGAGAAAGATGTATCTGTAATTTACCTTTATTTCAGTTGTTATTCGTGAATTTTATATATCATACGTGATGTCATAGTTCTGAAAATAATTACACTGCTCTGAAGTACCATTTGAGGTTTATTTTAATGTTTGACAGTACGGTATAGTATTTCCTACCTTTGCACATATTATTAAATTTCATCGATTTAAATAGCCATTCTGCCCAACTGGTGTGTTGAGATATGCATTTGTTTATATTATTGTTAGATAGAATACATTTGCAAAAGTAAATAATGGTAAACTGAACGCGAATAGTAATGGTAACTTTAAAACACTACTACGTAAGTTCCCAAAAATATGTGAACAGAACATATCTGTCAAATTTACCATATGGATTGAAAAAAGTAAGTTAAGAGTTAACCATGTAGAGTTAAAACTAAACAAATCTTTTCAACGTTATGAGTTGAGTGAAAAATTGTCTTTACAACTGTATCTGTTCCTAGATTATCTAACTGCGAGTGATAAACATAATTTATGAGTTTTAGAAATACTAGTGTGTATTGAAGACTCAGTAATCTATGTGTTTCAAAACGTTATGTTGTAGCGTTTTACTCTAAGCCTATTGAGTAATAACCTCACCTATGATGTAAGGTAGGAGTTTCCATTTAGAGGTGTTAATCGCTCATCATCAAACACTCATAAACACCAAGTGTTGAAGCAATAAACTCAACGTATGTTTTATTAAATGTTTACCCTCACAGGTACATGTTAAATAACTTATCTCAAATTGTTTATTTAGGTTCTTATTACTTGTCATGCAGTTCCAAAGGTAACAATGGAGTTAAATGTGTCAGCAAGATGCCATAGTCAGACACTTCAGTCCGGGGAATAAATACATTAAATCCACTTGATTGGCTTCGTTGGTTTTAAAAATACTAACACACATTTAACACACAGCTCATACAGATACGAAATATTATATATTTTTTTTGTAGACATGCTTATTCTGGAACACAACTTTAATAAACCATCGAAGCTAATTAAGCGTATTCAATGTATTTATTCCATGTACTGAAATGTCTGATGATGACATCTCATCGAAACATGTAACACTATTGTTACTACTGGAACTGAATTACAGGAAAAACCCATTTAGTTCAAATCGTATTTCCACCAAGCGAAAAAGTATTGTTTTATCAAATGTGTAGGTTAAGGACCTGTAAAAGTGAAAAATTGTATTGCAACGTTTAGCGTACATTACATGTACTCATCTTATATATAATAATTAACTTTTTTATCAGCATCGTACGTGTTATTAAAGTACATAAAATACATCAAAAATAGGTCAAATAACATTTGTAATTAATTATTTGCCTTTATACTGTTTATTCACAAGACGGTAAATACATATAAAATATGGTATGTGGTGATCGATTTCGATAGCACACTCCAACCATCATTAGACCCAAAAGCATATAATATTCGTATTATATATATATATACTAGCTGGCCCGACAGACGTCGTCCTGTCCTAATGTGGTTTTATGTCAATGCTCGTTCATTTCCAAGATGAGCTCGTTCGCATGGCTCAATCACGTCCTGGTTGAAGTTCGTTCGCTACGCTCACTCACCTTTAGGTTGAAACTCGTTCGCTACGCTCACTCACCTTTAGGTTGGAGCTCGTTCGCTGCGCTCCCTTGCCTTCAGGTTAGCTCGTTCGCTACGCTAACTCGCCTCCGGGTTGAAGTTCGTTTGCTACGCTCACTCACCATTTGGTTGCAAATTAGCTGTTGTCATAAATTGAAAAAAAATAATAGTGCTGCCCCCTGTTGGTAAACCTATTAACTTATTAATGCTATTGAACATCATAGAACTAAATTCTTTAGTTGAACCAGCTGTTAAGAATCTTTAATTCCATTTATAATGAGTACTCGTAAGGTTAACATGGGAAACTCCAGAGCCACTGGGGCGGAGCCCTTTTGTCGGATCTTCACCAAACTTCACACAAACCATCCTTGAATAATGCTTAATAATGCCTGAAAGTTTCATTACAATCTGTCGAGCGGTTTCGGAGTCCATAAAGGACAAACAAACAAACATACATACAAACATACATACAAACAAACATACATTGAATTATATATATATATATAGATATAGATGTATATTAATTAGTCAAAAGCAAAAGCTTCCAAGCAGAGATTTAATTTTGATCTGGTGTACGCACAAGCTACAATTATTGACAATTTAAAATCTTTGTTAATTTGCCTATTTTTAGAATGGTTCAATAATTAAATATTTCTTATTGAAAAGTTACATGTTTAAGGAGATAATTATTTTAAATTTGATCGGTATCACCTCATGGTAGTACGTACAGCAGTAACAGTGTCACATGCAAAAAGATACTTTTCCATTACCTTGTAAGATTAAATGAGAAGATAAAACTTTGTAACCCAGACCCTACGTATAAATTCCATCCAATTGTTTGAGTAAACCAAACTTGTCTAAAAAGATACGCAAACAGGTTGGCTGTTGGTAACAATGTACTCACGAATCGTCCTTGGCAAATCAATAATCACGTGACCAAAAATGGCGTGACTCAAAGATAAGTTGTCAGTTGTGCTACCTCTACCCAACATTAGTTTGGTGTTGACCACCACTTCGTAAGGGCGGGCTACCCAGAAATATTCTGTTTAACTTAAAAAGTAGAGTCGCAATAACGTGACAAGTTCTCTCTCGATTATTGTAGAATTGGAACAAAAATGTAAACTTTATAGTGATTGTGCCTTATATCCGATTCAGCTTAAGTTTGAGCTTTTAACAAGTTATTTTTCTGTGTGGTGTAAAATGCCGAAGATGAACGGAGCTACGCCGCTCATGTTAAGCCCACTTTCCGAAGGTGAGTTAAACGTTTGTTATGAGAGTTGCCGGTTAGTTTTAGAAAAAAACATAACGTTGTATCAAAATGATAAGATTAGTATAAACTTAAGAATAAATACTGTGCCAAGTAGAAATGTATTTTATCACAGGAATGAATATTGTTTTGACGAAGAAGCTTGTCCATTATAAGGTTTGATACTTCTTACATCATAAATATTGTTTGTAATCAATGTGTTGTATTGGCGATAGGAATCAGTATTCACCCAAAGTTTTTGTATTAATAACTGATTTATTACCTAATATCGTGGTTTTACATGAAATTAACAAATAAGTTAAGGTTAACGAAACTATCAACGAAAATGCTTTCCAAAACTCGTAGATTCATCTAATTAAACAAATTAATAGACATAGTAAAACATTTAATTTTA